CCTACAGAATCCTGACCTCCAACGCAAACGGCTGTTACTCCAGAAGATCTGGGCTGATAGGTCCCAAGGCCCCTGTCTAGCAGGGCCCTAGATCTTCAAAAAACCGGAGGGCTCTTTGGGTCACCCCCAGCAAGAGCTCTGTAACAAAAGGCAGCAAAAGCCACCTTCCCCTAGAGGTTCCTGGAGGATTTCAGGGGGAGGGGGGGATTAGCCCTTTTCTTCCTCTCTCCCTCTTACCCCCTACATCTGTCCTGAAAACAAATGACATCCTTGCACCTTGGGAGTGGGTCAGGGGATATCACACAAACACACCTGTGTGTGTCCTTTAACCTTCCTGTCTCCCTCTTGCCTGGGTCTTCCACACCTATGCTTCCTAACAGCAAGACTGGAGCCAAGAACAAGAGAACAGCATTTAGATATCCAAAGCCTGAAATAGAATGTCCCAGAGATGGAGAAGGAGGGCTACCAGAGTATAAGAGTTGTTCTCAGCAAAAGCTAACCTGGCCAAGAGGAGGAGGAGGAGGAGGTAAAGGACAAAAGAAGTAAATGTGGGTCAGATTATGTTTGCCTCTTACCTGAATATCCTTTACGTCAGCAATGACCTTCTTCTCTCTACCTCCACCTTCCTGGGAACTGCTTCCTCTTGGCTCAGGTTAGACTCAGGGGAGGGAAGGAGGAGAGAAGGCACTGGGCCAGTCTACTTCCTCCTCCCTCTTGGGCCCTTTCTTACTTCCTATGGTCGCAGATTTACACTGCTCCAAGGCTAAGCCTTCTGAATCTGAACAAAACTATAGAACCCGAGCTCAAAACTCTAAGGACAGGCACACAACACCCCTCTGTTCAGATGGTTCCCTATTTCCTTCTCCCCAGGCTGATTAGATCCCCACTACTTGTGCCCTAGACCTAGGAAACCTAGCTCCAGATATCCACCAGGTGGTAGCATTGACCAGATGATCATAAGTGGCAGGAGCTCTGCACAGATTAGCCTCATACAAGGAAATGTTCCAACAATTTGTCAAGTCAATTGTTCTCTCCAGCAACTGCTGTAGAGGTGCAGTCCTATTGTTATCCAATGTGACCTTGAGCTTGACTCAGCTAAGCTAGTGAAGAGGACTTGAACTGGGAGAGACTGGCTCCAGAGTCAGTACTCCTCATCACCTCACTATAAAATTCCCCATGTGCTACCTGCTTCTAGCTCTGTTGGGTCGCTCTGAAAGGGTCTTCCTTGCCCACGAGGATAGCTCTCCAATCATCTCACACCCTGGAAGTTGGAATACATAATGGTGGTCTCTTGAAGCCTACCTGAAGGTCTAGCTTTATCTCTCTGACTGTATTGAATTTGTACTTCAGCCCTAAAATCCTCCCACTGACAATCCTTAGTGAATAGCTGGATTTGGAAGTATCTGGAATGAATGTTAAAGATCGTAAAATGTTCATTTGTAACTTTTCAGGAAGGACTATGAGGTGCCAGACTTTGGATAAAGCAGTGATCAAAACAGACACAGAAATCAGACAAATTGCAAAATGAACACTATCACTTGGTGATAAAGTATGGAAGGGAAAAGAAACAACAAAGGAAATAGAAAGTGGTGGTCAAATAAGGAAAGGGAGGAACAGAACATGGAAGAGAGGGAATAAAATACTAATTTGTAACTGTGGTACTTTGTGCTAGGTCCAATACCCATGCCCTTATCTCTGTCATCACAACTACTCAGTAAAGTAGATATTATTCCTATTTCACAAAGGAGAGAAGAGATCAGAGAGGTTAAGTAAACTGCCCCAGGGTCAGCCTTGGCTTCAGGAAAGGTTTCTGACTAAGACTCTACCAATGTACCTTCAGCTGCAACCCAGGGGCTCATGGGAAGCTGTAAAGTAGGAAGCAGTGCTCTCAGCATGCACAGCCCACAGTGGCTTGTGATGGGGGCTACACCATCACTGGAAGAGCCACAGACACATACCCAAGGGGCATATGAGTCAAGAAAAGCTGTCCTGTGTGCAGACTGCTCAAGCTGCTGAGTGCCTCCAGCAAGGCAAGCCAGGAATAGTGGTATTGCCACTTCTGATTGATGTGGTCACTGAGGGCTTTGAAGGGCCTCAAGGCCCACAGCTGATGCCCAGCAGACCACATCGCTACAAGCCTTTTGGCTCTAGAAATCAGAGCTCCAGCCTGTCAGTGCTTTTCAACGCTTCTAGGTCTATGTGACTCTCAAGTTGAATTGATTTGGATGAACGGTTTGAAGAGGGTCACCAAAGTTCAAGGCCAGGGCTGGGGCTATGGTGGCCTTTGTGACTACAAGGGGAGGTCTGGAGGCAGGGAGATGAGAGGCTACAGCTATTTATGGAGTCTGCATTGACCTTTGGTCAATGGTTGAAACTCTCTCCCCTCCTGAAGTCATTCTGGTAAGTTGAGGGCTTCTCAGGTCTGGAGCTCCTCAGGCCCAAAAAAAGGCAATCCTTTATCATTGAGGCAGCGTCTTACAGGCAATTGCCTGCCATGGATGGGGCTAGAGCTGTGTGTGGCATCACAGGCTCTGAACCCAACCTATTTTCCATCTTTACCCCCTAGGCCCTCCCTGGAAGGACAGGCTTGTTCTGAGCTTTAAGTGGTTTCTGTGGTTTAGGGGGTGGGGAGGAAGGGAAAGAAAAGTTAGTGACTACTCCCCAGAGTCAAGCCACCACCAGCAGCCCCCCTCCAGGCTGTTTGCCCCCTGCTTTGAGATTCCCCAGCCTGATAAAGGGACTGGGCACGTGGGGGGAGGGGGGTTGAAATGATTCTCTGATCCCTATCAGCCTCTTCCTTGCATAAGAATGTACGACTGTATTTGAGGAGGAAATCAGCAGTGCTCAGTTTTGAAAGGACTGATAACCTCCGGAAAGGGGCTGTGATTACAGCAAATGGGGAGGAAGGGTTCACTAGAGAGGCCATTTCCCAAAAGGGTAACCTAAGTCCTTTCTTCCCTTGAAGAAAAAGAACCCAAACCATCCATATTTTAGAGCAGAGAAAGCCTAGCCTAGAGGCTAGACCCCTGCCTTCCCAGCCCTCCACTCACTTCCTGCCCACTCCACACAGCGGGCAGGAAGTGGCCCTCTGGAAGTGGTATCTGGAGATGTGGAGGCCCAGCCCATCCACAAGCATTCTGCATTCTGCATGACCACCCTCCCCCCCACACCCTGTGGCTACGGTTTGGGGGAGGGATAGTGTCATGGAGGAAGAGAAGCCTAAAGAGGAGAGGAGATGGAGGGGCAACCTAGAGAGGCACGGAAAAACCAAAGAGCCAGGGGCAGACGGACCAGGAGAGAAAGAGACAGGGACACCACGCTCTTCTCTCTGGGGGAAAGGAAAACAGATCTATGCTGCCTGCACTATCTTCTCTTGCTACCTCTTGCCTACTCTACTTACCAACCCTCCCCCGACCCCCAGGGTGGGGTGATGTTTCCAGAGCTTGGCATCTTACTCCAAAGCTGCCCAAGAGGTAGAGCCCTGAAACAGACTATCATTGTGTTCTGAGCAGAGTGTACCATGGACCTGTGTTTATCAAAAAAAAGGACACGGGGTACCAACACATACCCTCAGACTCTCAGTGCCGAAGGGACCTCAAAATCTACCCTCCTTTCTTCTTCCCCATCTTCCTGTCAACCACCCCAGAAGTTAGAAAGTCCTTCTCCTTTTCTAGTCCTTATCCCTCAAGCTGCAGCTCTTGGGAGACTCTGGGGGCTACCCTGGGACAGAGGTGCTGATGGTAGCAGAGTGTGAAGTTCCAGGGCGGGGCAAGAGCAGAGGCTGGTGAGAAGGGACAGCTGCCTGCCCTCTCCACGCCAGGTGCCACGTGCATCAGGTGGGGAGAGTGGGCGAGTCACGAGGCTGTGTCGTGGCTGGCTCCTGTTCTGCTGTTTACCAGCTGGGAGCGAGCAAGAGGGAGGAGGTGCCAGGGAGCCTTCCCTGAAGCCTGGCCCCTGGCCAGCTGCCTGTTGAGTAACTAGGAGTGCCAGGCCCAGCTAATCAAACTCTGGGCCGATGCTGGGCAGGAGAATAGCAACATCTCAGCTCCACAGAAGCCTTGCTCCTCAGAGCTCCTCAGACTCCAGAGTAGGCCTCAATGAGGGCAGGCTCAGACTTGGGGGGGTCTCCACACAACCAGTCCAGTGTAATCCAGACCACAGGAAAGGGCAGCATGGATCAGGGACAGACAGTGTCCTTAAAGAACCAAAGAGACACCTGGATGAGTCTAACCCCATCCCAAAGAAGCAGTACAAACAGGCTCTCCCTTCACTGTTACTTCTGTTGCTTGTCTTAGTCTGATAGAAACTGTGGGGTTCTGAAATCACAGAGACCTGGGTTCAAATCATAACTCAACCGTGCATCATTTTGTGCAAGTTCTGGAGCACATACTTAATATCTCTAAGCATCACTTGATTGACTCACTGATTAATCTAAAATAATTGTTTCCTGTGGTGGATGTCATGAGGAATTACATAAAGCAGTATGATGGTTTACAGAGAGGACCTGGCAAAGGACCTGGTCCATAGTAGGTGATTGCTAAATGCTAGGTCCCTTCTTTTCTTTTCTTCTTTTTCTTTTTTTTTCTTTTTTCTTTTTTTTTTGTCGATTGTGGGGCCTGAACTCTGGGCCTGGGCGCTGTCCCTCAGCTCTTCAGCTCAAGGCTAGCGCTCTACCACTTGAGCTACAGCACCCCTTCGGGCTTTTTCCACTTATGTGGTGCTGAGGAATGGAACCCAGGGCCTCATGCATGCTAGGCAAGCACTCTACCACTGAGCCACCTTCCCAGCCCTAGGTCCCTTCTTTTCATCTGTTCTGTTTCTACTCAAAGGCTCTAATCTCTAGTTTTTTGGTCTCTCCCCACATTCCCTCCTGGTGCCAAGACAGCTCTGCCAGCCACTCCTTTTCCCTGCCTGCTGACAGCCAGGTGCTCCCTCCCTCCGCTACCCTCCCTCCCCTGGGCCCTGCTCCCTGCCCTCCTGGGCAGCCAGGGCAGCAAGGACGGCACCAAGGGAGCTGCCCCATGGACAGGGCCCCACAGAGACACCACCGAGCCTCAAGGGGTAAGAGGCCCCACAGCTCTGTAAGCAGGTGGAAGGGACTGCCAGGAGGCTCAGAGGTGGGGAGAGATGGGAAGTCAGTGGGCAAGTAGAGAGGGGGACAGAGAAGAATACACAGAAAGGGAGAGATGGACTGGTAGGGGAGCCCAGGTAGGTAAGATAGGACAAGTCCTGATTGAAAATGAAGAAGAAACAGGAGAAAGGACTGGAAACTAAGAGAGGGTAACAGGAAAGGCAGGGAGAGGTAGCAAGAACCCTATGGGGAGGGGAGGGGGGGAGAAAGGGAAGAAGTGAAAAAGAAAGACAATTTGGGGTAGGGGAGGAGGGGAGAGCAGGATTAGGGTAGCTGGAAGAGTGAAGAATCAGAACAGGGTGGCCTTCCCAGGTGTGAGTGCTCTGAGGGGTGGCAGGGTCCCCCCACCCTTGCTGATCCCAGCAGCTGGCCAGGCCCCTGGACAACAGGGACAGGGAGGCTGGCTGCTTCATTCACCAGTGGAGGAACCTGTCCGGTCCTGCTATGAAAGAGGGAGGGGGACAGCCACTACGCCCCATTAGTTGCCCATGCCCACTAGCCTGGCACTTTCCTCCCACTGGCCCAGAAGTATGGGGTTTCGTTTCTGCAGAGAATGTGGGGCACTGGGCCAAGCACGAAGAGGGACCGAGACTTGGATTAGCCCTAGGCCCCACCAATGGACTAACTCAGGCATCCTCACCCCATGCCTGGTCAATGTGAGCACCCAGGGAAATATGTGAGCTGAGCAAGTGCCAGAGCTGCCAAGCTCCAGGGCCACCTGGTGGAAGAACAGCTTGCTCTCTGGGCAAAAGAAGCACACTACCCCCCTCTCTGCCCCCCCCCCACACATACAAATTTAGGACTATTCTGAGGTGCAAAGCTAGAGGAGGGACAAGGGTGCCACGTCAGGAAGGAAGGTAGGTGGGGCTGGATAGGATGGCCAGGATGGGTGGGGCTAGGTGGTGTCATTCCTTCTCTGGGCAGACCCAGGGATCCCAGATTACCAGGCCTATTTGGCACCATGACGGCCCAGTTGTAGGGGGAGCATCCCCTGGATAGAGGGACAGTGACGGGGATGGGGAGGGGTATTGGAGAGAGGGTATTGGAGAGAAGGTATGTGTGGTAGGCTTGGACAAGAGAAGAGGAGAAAAGTAACAGAACAGAGTCAATGATTAGGGGGCTGAGATGTAGTTCAGTGGCAAAGCGCTTGCCTAGCAAGTACAATGTCCTGGGTTCGATCCCCAGTACCAAAAAAAGGAAAGACAGGGCTGGAAAGGTGGTTCAGTGGTAGAGTGCTTGCCTTGCATGCCTGAGGTCCTGAGTTTGATTCCTCAGCACCACAAAAGCAGAAAAAAGCCAGAAATGGCGCTGTGGTTCAAGTAGTAGAGCACTAGCCTTGAGCTGAAGACCTGAGGGACAGTGCCCAGGCCCAGAGTTCAAACACCAGAAAGAAAGAAAGAAAGAAAGAAAGAAAGAAAGAAAGAAAGAAAGAAAGAAAGAAAGAAAGAAAGAAAGAAAGAAAGAAAGAAAGAGAAAGAAAGAAAGAATAAAAAAAGACAAAAAAATACACTTAAAAAACAAACAAACAAACCCAGAGTCAATGATGAGGGAAGTTACAGGCTGGGACAAAGACTAGACATAAGCTCTATGAATTGCCACTATGTGGATATAGGAAATGGATCAAGATCTGGTCTGGAAGCTTCTTCCCATGAGGCTCCCTTCCCAGGTGCTTCATCACCTCTGACTGTGTGAGGGAATGCTTCCACAGCCATGCTCTGGCTAAGGCTCCTCCCTTAGCAGCTGCTCCTCCTAGGTGGTCCTCTATCACATCACCCACCCACCTGTGCCCTCTTCTGCCAACTCTCCATCCAGATCTAATCACACAGCAGAGCAGCACAGGAAAAGCAAATTCTTCCCTGGGCAGATGGCAGGCCAATGAAATCTGGCTGATGGAGGCCAGAGAGGGCTTTTGTGTTCAAAGCTCTCTGCTTTGCCACCAGCCCCACTACTCTGAAACTTCCGGATACTTTCAGGAATCAATCAGCAACCAAGCGTTTTGTTTTCATGCAGATTTTGCTCTGGGTGCAGAACAGTTATGGTGCACTTCTAATGTACCAGGTACCATGGAGTGTTCTAGATATTTGTCAGGACAGCAAGGTGAACAAGACAGATATAGGCACTGTCTTCCTAGGGTTTACGGTCTAGCAGAGCAGACCCATTTTACAGATCACAGCATACTTTATGGTGGTTGGGTAATATGTGAGTGCCAGGAAATTAAGTGCAAGGTGTTGAGTGAGTAAACCTCAGTAAAAACTCAGGGGAGAGTGCCTGGACAGCTTCTCAGGAAGGGATAGAATCTGAGACCTGATGAGTGATGAGAGGATGGTAGATTAAGGGGTAGGGAAGAGAAGGTCACTCCAGGCAGAAGGAGTGGCATGGGGGAAGTCCTGGAGGCATTCAAGAGCCTGGCACTTTGAGAACCTGGAAGAGGGCCAGCATGGCTGAAGGGCAGAGAAGGCAGCAGAATGGGAGCTGGCAAAGGTGGCCTAGCTTCTTTCAGAAGCCAGGCTCTGCTGGGAAGGAATGGAGTAGAAGGGAACCAATCCTGTAACTGGGAGACGTGCCTTCCACAGTTGACACTGAGCCCCTCTTTTCTCTTTCCAGAGCTGCTGGCTACAAAGAAGACCCACACTTGTGAGTAAGGGCTTGGGACCAAGAACTGGGGCTGAGCTGTGGTGAGAGAGAATTCGTCAAGGACTCTGGGAGGTCCAAAGTAAAGAAAGCCCCAGGGCTGGACAGAGGTAGAAGAGCCAGACAGAAATGATAGGCTGGAAAGGAGGCAAGCCTGGGAACTCAAGGGAGTGAGGAAAGGTTGGGACAGGTGAAGGGCCACAGCCAAGGGCAAGCCTGATAAGGGAAAGATGTCAAGAAACAAACAAAGAACAAAGGAAAAGCAGGCAGAGAAGTTGGCCAGAGCCACACAGGAAGTAAGAGGGAGGCCAGAGGGAGACTGGTGGTCCAGGGAAGCGGGGAGGTGGAGAGGTAGTGCTGGGTAGCAGCCTCAGAAACTCAGGGATGCCACAATGGGAGGCCCCAGGCTTTGTGGCAGCAGAGCCAGGTTTGGTGTTCATCTCTGTGGTTAACACATCCTGAAGTGTGAACAAGCTTGGAGCCTGGCTGTGCCACACAGAAGAGCAGGAAAGCCTTGGCTCTGTAGGAAACAGAATGAGTTAAAGACACTCTCTGCCCTGGGGCTGTAAAAGACTACAGTCTGTGAGAAGAAAGCTAGAGCTCAGGTAGAACTTTCTAATGGATACATTCAAATCAGCATCTTCTTTAGACTACTTTCCCAGAAGATGCACATGCTTCATTTCAGTAGCAAAACTCATCATCCCTAGCAGGGCCACACATGTGCTCAGAAGCCTGTGGGCACGCTGGAAAAGGCTTCCCGTTAGCAGGGGTTCCTGATCTGATGAGAATCCTCCATTTCTCCCATAAGTCCCTCCCTTCAACTGCTCAAACCATGGACAGTCTCCCTATTCCAGGCAGAGCCATCTCAGAGGGCATAGAGCTTCTCCTCCTTGAGCCAGATACAGGGCTGGGGACCATCTAGGATTTGACATCCTCCTGGGGATGGGGGCTGCTTCGCTCAGCACAATCCTGATCAAGCCTCGCCTGCCTGCCCATAGTCACAGGGCCTCACGGAAATGCTGAGCAGGGCCCTATGAGGAAAGCAGGTCAGAGAGTGACGTAGGTGAGCTAGAGGAGGGGTGGGGGGAGTGTTGGGGGGAAGAAGGGGACTTTTGGAGCAGTGGGAACTGGGAAAGGCAAAACCATTCCTACTCTCAATCCCTTACCACAGAAACCTTGCTGGCCAGGACCCTATCTCTGGCTCCTGTCCCAGGCCCAATAGCCCTGGCAAACATTCGGTACCCCCAAACTCATGAGTTACTATTAGGATCCAGGCCAACAGGCCCTCCTCCCATCTGCTGCCCAGCTCTCAAAAGCCTGCTTAGAAAAGCTCACACTGTCTGAGTCGCTTGTGGGGTTCTAGCAAAATCAAAGACTTCTCAGGAGAGTTGGCCCAAAGAATCTAGATGTTCAGGTCTTTCACAGATGAATCCCCAAGGCTGAGGTACACTGCCCAAATTATTTAGCCCATCAGTTGGAACCCCATATCAATCTACTGAGAAACTCGGGCCAGGAGGTATCTGAGTCTGAGACACCTTCAAAAGCAGACTTGAACCAGAGAAAACCTCCTGGCCCTTTGAGGGAGAGCTGAGGCCAATCTGCCTGGGCTTGAATTCTATCTCTACTACTCACTAGGTCAGTGACCTTCAGCAAGTTACTTAACTTCTCTGTTTCGCTTTTCTCATCTTTGAAAGGGGAAAACTACCTTGGAAAATATTTTGTGAGGATTAGCTAAAGCCACATAATATGTTAGAACCATTTCTGGCACATAGTAAGGACTATTATTATGATTATGAGTTAGACAGTGATAAATGTCATTATCTGCATTCCAATTTAGCAAAGTTGCCCCTAAGGAAATGTCTGATGGACTGACTCTCCCCTCCTGCCGATTCTGAGTATTTGCCTGATAATTGTTACTACTGTTAGTATTATGCTCACCTTTGGTCCTCAGCTCCTACTATAATTTTCATGTTCCGTAGCCCAGGGTATATGGCATGTTGGTAGGGAGGAGCATAGGGATGAGGGTGGGGGTAGACAACCTCAGACACAAACAGGCTGGGTTAGTCCACAGGGTTTCAATGGCAGATGCTGCCACCCTCAGCAGACATCCTGTAACTTACCTCTGGGACATTCCTGTCCCCCGAGTTCTCTGGCAAAGAGAGTCAGGCTGAGATCCTTAGAGAGAGGGGAATAGGAGGTCCATTCCGGCTCCCCAGCCAGAACTACCCTGGCAAGTGGAAACAGCTTTTACCGCGAGTGGTTGTTGCATGTGGTTTTGGAATTTTCCAACGCCCCCTACGATTGGCTGCTCCACCCCTCACACCCTGCCCCAGGCCCAGATTGGCCACGTGGAGCGCCTGTCATCTTACCCACTACACCCCTGGGGGACTAGGGGGGCTGTCACTTAGCCACCTGTGTGTTGCAGAGTTTATCCCCCCTCCCCCTTTCAGAAGCACTGGGGGAGAGCTAGGTGCAGAGCTGCAGGCTGAGGCTCCGCTGAGAGGGCCTCACCCCCCACCTCCACTGCCAGCTGTTCCCTGTACCTGGACCACCCTGCTGAGGACAGGGAGCCAAGGCCGGCTAAGCTGCCAAGCCTAGGTTCAATCATGAGAAGTAAGTGAGTTGGGGCCACCTGGGTGCGGGGGAAGCTTGGGAGTGGGGTCACCATCCCTGAGCCTCTCAAGAGGAGGGTGCCTTGGGAACAGTATGAACAGAGCTGAGGGCTCCTCCCTGGAAGGGTGTGTCGTGGTCAAGGGCAAGAGCCGTTGGAAGCTGGGCGGAGTGGCTGGAAAGTTGTGCTCCCACCCCTCCACCCCCCCACCCCCTTCCAGGCAGTTTCTTTACTGAAGCAGTAGTAAAAAGAACAGTTGAGGAATTCTTGCTGTAAGTTCTGGAAAGATTCCCTGAGAATGCCTGAGGTGTCCAGCGCCTAAGTTCACAAAAGCAGAGACCCAGGGAGGGTAGTGGTACACCCCAGAGCACACAGCTGGGAGCTGATGGAGGGTGGCAATTACCAGAGCTCTGAACTTACTCTCTCAGCTCCTAGTGAAGTAGATCCCTTAGTAACTCCAACCAGGAGAGTTGCTATGTTCTGAAGCAGGACAGTCAGAGTAAACTGAGGCAGGCAATGATGGGTCAGAATGCCAGAATCTATCCCTCACAGACACCACACTTTCTGCTCATCGAGGGATGCAAGAATTAAGTGCCTTCCAGCTAGGATGGGCTTTGTGTACATGCATGCATGTGTGTATGTGTATGTGCATGCTTTTCCAGGTTTAGTCACTAATTCAGGGATCAGAAGGATCAGAGCAGTGGAATAGGAGCAGAAAACCTTTAGCATCATTCCCTTTCTGCTTTGCAACACTGGGCCAACCACTGGTGGGAAGATGTCTCTGGGGTCCTGGTTCTTTCAGCTGAGCTAGGTGGACAAATCAGATGGTTCATGTAAGGACCTCCAGAGAACCGCTCAGAGCACAGGGTAAATGAAGAAAAGGGAAGCCTGTGTCCCTGCGGCCTGAGGCCTGTGACGGCCTCAGCCTCAAATGGGGTCTTCCCACAAGCCACAGAAGAGAGGTCATATTGAGTCCTGGAAAGACCCATGGACTGAGAGTCTAACAAACAGATTCTGGTACCATTTCTGTCACCGTGTCACCTTTTGGCAAGTCTGTAGAGTCCTGGTCTCTCATGTGTAAAACAAGGACATTAAACTTAAAAACAACAATGCCAACTATAAAGGAGGACTAAAGAGTCAGTCCTAGCTTCTGAGGTGTGCCCCAAGAGTTTCTGCCCTCCCAGGCAGTAGAAGAAAAGGAGACCAAGGCAAGAAAGGAGCTTCATTTCTGTAAGTGGGATGAGACGGCAGTGCAGGTGTATGAGCCGCCCTGGATGAGGAGCAGGAGAAGAGCCAAAGGCATCCAACAATGCAAGTAGGAACATCTGTTTCTAGCTTCTCCTCATTAGCAGCAAAGGCTAGCAGGCTGGACTGCCCACAAATGACCCCAAATAAGCACATTAACCCTACGATGCCATGATGTGTATGCTTCAAGCCCAGCATGAAGGCAGGAGTTCCTGGAAGTGACTGAGGAGACAGTTGGGCAGCTCTGGGTTAAATCCACCCCTCACATACACACAGCTGTCTAGGAGAGGGGATTCTCATCCGATTTGGAGGACAGTGCCACTGGTCCTCGTGTGGGCATTTCTGAATATCTCAGAACCCCAAGTTTTCTGGCCCTAGGTAATACTAAGCCCCCAACACCTAGGGAGAGTTAGAAGCTTGTGAAGCTTGTGTCTGTGACCTACCCAAACACTAAGGCCAAACAAACAAGGAGCAGAAACAGTCCAAGAAATAAAGAGATACAGAAACTAAACTCAAAGGACTGATTTATGAAAGGCACAGGAACAGGCTATTGTCTAGATGGAGATGTGGACTGAGCTTACCAAGAGAACCAAAGCTGTGTGGTATGACACCTGAGAACAGCTGGAATGCAGTTCACCATGTACAGATACAGAGACAGGTAGAGAAGGTAACCATTAACCAAACAGACTCCCAGCTGGCCAGAAGGTGGCCCAAGTACTCACCCTAAGAGGCTTGGCCAATGAGGGGCCAATAGACATTGAGGCCCTGGCATTGAGCCTAGATCGGGAGGTGGGATGCCAATGGGTGAGAGGTCACATGTCTGCCCTCTCTGTGCCCTGATCTTTAATCCTGTCATGCTAATGAGGAATAATGGGCCAGAAGGCACTGTAAATCCCCAGGGTGCCACAGAGCTCACCATAAGGGTCCAGGGCCATCTGAGGGTTTTGTAGAAGACATTCTCCTTTCCAGCATCATTCCTGTTTCTTGCTCTTTTCCTTTCTTCCTGTTCCTAGCACAAATCCCAACGGCTTGGAGCCCAAGGCACTAGAATGTGGAGTCTCAGCCTGTCCTATCACTATGAAGATAATGTATGTTAATATGTCTGTCCCTGACAAGGTTGCACTTTTCCCTTCCCCCTGCCTCTGTGCCAACGCAAACTAAAGCCCATGCCCAGGGCTCTCCAAGGAAAGCAGTCATGGAGTCTCATTCATGTACCATTTAATGCGTAGTTCTTCCTGAGATCTAACCACCTTCCCTGGGGTGCTGAGGTTCAAAAAGGATGGGGATGTCTATTTGGAATGTCAGGATGGTAACAAGGCAGGGCCTTCGGGCCTTTCCGGGTCTGGTGGCTTTCCAGAGCAATGGTGGTGTCTAGAACGAAGACCGGAGGCTCAGGAGGCAAGGGAGGCCTCTGAATGTGACAGTGTGCCGTCTGGGCTCCCACTCCTCAGAGCTTCTTCCTGGTGATTCATCCCCTCCCCCCCATCCACTGGTTGTTTTCACTGGGTTCTTTTATTTCCCCTTCTTTCTCCTGCCCCAGACTGCGGGGGTGGTGGGGGCAGCAAGAGGGGGTTTCGGGAGACTGGCTGTCTTTCATGGCTTTGCAAAACCCCAGACTCTCTCTCTCGCCCACCTGAGTTTTAGCTTCACTATTTTCTCAGCTCTAGGATCCGAGTGTATCAGCATAAAATTGTCACCGGGGACTGTGGGGAGAGCCCTGCTCGGGCTGGGGTAGTATCCACCAGGCAGAACGGCGCCTCCCCACCCAGCCCTCCTCCTGCTGCTCCTGTGGTTGTGCCAACCACCTTGGTTTTCAGCATTGCAGAAGCTGGGGGGAACTGAGAGCCAAGGAAGGAGGGAGGCTGGTAACAGATTGGGGTACACAGAGGACCCCTGGCTAGAGCTGTGGTCTCAGTGGTGAGAGAAGGGTCAGGCTAAGAAAAGAGAAGCATTCCTCTTTCTCACTCATTTATCATTCATTTCTGCAAAGAAAGGCCTACTAAGAAGCAAGAAACTCGTCCACGCCCTAAGGGAGCTATGGTCTGGCAAGGGTTAGGAGCTCACTTAGGTTTAACACATTGTCTCACCTTAGCAAAACAGGTAAGAGCGGGAGGGGACAATGATTACAGAGGAAAAGCTAGGGACCGAGGGAATATCTGACTCTTTATACTACATGAGTTGTGGCTTTAGTTCTGTAAGTTTTCTCCCTAGATTATTTGTCTAGCCCTTTCCTTTCACTTTCCCCTCCCCTGCAGCAAATAATCTCACCCCAACCCACTCTGGCCCTTCGGGCATCTCATCCTCACTAGGTACATAGCTTAATGGTCCAGGGCACTTGCTCTAGAGTTACAGAGACCAATGCCAGACCTGCCACTTGTGGCAGATCTGAGTCTCGCTAGGCCTTAGTTTTCTCATCTGAGAGAACAATACTAGTAGTACCTCCACCAAAAGGTGGTTGTGATCATTCAAAAATGTGTATAAAGTCAGGCGCCATTGACTCATGCCTGGAATACTAGCTACTCGAGAGGTTGAGATCTAACGATCATAATTCAAAGCCAACTGGAGGAAGGAAAGTCCATGAGACTCTTATCTCCAATTATCCAGCAAAAGGCCAGAAGTGAAGCTGTGTTTAAGTGGTAGAGCACTAGCTCTGGACAGGAAAAAAAAGCTAAGGGACAATGCCCAGGTCCTGAGTTCAGCCCCATTAAAAAAAAAAAAAAATTGGCCAGTGCTTTGTGTGTGTGTGTGTGTGTGTGTGTGTGTGTGTGTGTGTTTGTGTGTTTTAGGGTTTGGGGTTTTTTTTGTTGGTCATGGGGCCTGAACTCTGGGCCTGGGTGCTGTCCCTCAGCTCTTCACCTCAAGGTTAGCGCTCTACCACATGAGCCATAGCGCCACTTCCAGACTTTTTTATGTGATGCTGAGGAATCGAACCCAGGGCCTCATGCATGAGAGGCAAGCACTCTACCACTGAGCCACCTTCCGAGCCCCATTTATAATTATTATTCCTCCTTATGCAGCATGTATTGGAGAGAAGCAACTGAGAAAGAAAAGGGCCTAGCTCTAGATTGGCCTCACAGGAAGATGAAATTCCCAGAAATCCTCTGAATCGTTCTCCACTGGGCTGGAGGTGGTTCTGGGGTTTGAGGGGTAAGATCCCCCTGGGTTGCCACCCCTCCTCTGTACCTACCACTTCCTCTCTGTGGCATAGGGCACCTGGACATGGCCCAGGGCCAAGTTCTGGATACATTCAAAGAGCACTATCAATGGATCTCACAGCTGTGAGCAGAGTGAGATTAGAGGCAGAGTAGGTTTGCCTCTACCGTATTTCTCCTCATATGAAGCTCTGACGAGATGCTTCCTGGGGAGCCTTCAATCTCTGAGACAATCCAGGAGACCCATTTTCTTTTTCTAAGCCTACATCACAATGAAGTTTTACAGGTCACACTGGAAGGTAGGGAAGGTGTAAGAATGAACTTGATGAGCAGAGGTATAGCTTAGTGGGGGAGTGGGTGTTTAGCATGCTTGCAGCGCTGGGTTCAGTGCCTAGTACAAACACAAACAAAAGAAATAAAAGTACCACGAGGAGGAAGAAAGAGCTTGGGAAGAGATTGTAAAACCTACCTTGCCCACCTGGCACAAAAACTGGCCGAAGGGCTAAGTTCTTGCTACTCTAAGGGTATGCTAATGTATTGCAAATTTAGGTACCAATCTAGAGCTCATTAAAATATAGAATTATCAAGCCCATCTCCAATCTCCTGAACAGGGACTTACATTTTTTGTTTGTTTTATCTTGTGATCTGTAGGTGATACAAAAGGTAGAATCATCCCCAGACTAGCTGATTTAAGGAGCTATTAAAGACATTTTTCTCGGGGCTGGGAAGGTGGCTCAGTGGTAGAGCACTTGCTTTGCATGCTCGAGGCCCTGGGTTCAATTCCTCAGCCCACATAAGAAAAAAGAAAAAAGCCGGAAGTGGCACTGTGGCTCAAGTGGTAGAGTGCTAGCCTTGAGCTGAAGAGCTGAGGGACAGCGCCCAGGCCCAGAGTTCAGGCCCCAGGACCGGACCAAAAAAAAAAAGACATTTTTCTCTCCTTTCTCCTTTTGGAAATACAAAATTGGAGGATTTTCTTTTGATAACCAATAATGTTGCTCCTCTCCTGCTCTACCAGTGCCTCAGGGTACTTAGCTTAATGGTTAAGGGTGTTTAACGGTTAAGAGCATAGACTCCAGAGTTAGAGATACCTAATGCTCTGCCAATTCTGGTGATTATAATCTTAGTCAAGCCACTGAGTTTGTAGGCCTCAGTTTTCAAATCTTTCTCAGGAGAAAAGTACAGTGGGTAGCAGATGAAACACAAAGCTCTTCCCAAACAAGCAGGAGTGGGAGCGGGCAGAGTCCCACTGCTATGAGAGCAGTGGGGTTAGGGGCTGGCTATGAGGCTCCTGACCTTTGTTTGGCTCTGGTTCCTGGCACTGTCAGGCCCAAAGATGGTAAGTTCCTGGCAGGCTAGGCTCCCAGGAAACAGTTTGAGTAATCCTGTGATTACTCAGCTCCCCCTCCCCATGTGGGTTCCCACCACCTGCTACTCAAGGACTGGTTCATGGGGCAGGTCCTGAAGGTGGATTAACGGAGGTGTTTCTCAGCATCTCGCACTCCCATCCCCCAAGTGCCCATCTTTTCCCCTCCCCACCGCCCTCCACTAGCTCTCTTGAGTACCGGTACTTTCTCTTTGAGGTTTGGGGTGGATGTCATTGAAGGGGATGCAGGTGGCAGGGGAAGGAGAAAGAGTAGGACAAGAAGCCTGGTAATTCTGAGGACTGGACATAGGACCAGGACGTAAGCATACGCATTCCTACATTCCTGCCTCTGTCTCTCCTTTCCTAGGGCTGTCTCTATTTTCACCTAGTCCTGAACCTCTTAGTCCCTCCAGCTCGGAGAAGCTAGAGGGTCTGACCTTGAGAGTCTCTGATTCTGTGTTCCTGTCACTGTATTCTTCTGCCTTGGATTATGGTTGAGGGAGGTGGGGAAGGGGCTAGCCTGGAGGCTGAGGTCCAAGGCTCTAGATCTCCCAAATATGGTATCTGTGAAAGAGGTCCTTAGCTGGTCACCTCTTCCTATGAAAAGGGCAAGCTTTTGGTGACACTGTGGTGAGGTCCCTAAGGCCGGGACCAGCAATGGGTCAGCTGTGGGGCAGGGAGATGTGTCTAGGGTTACCCATGTGGTCAGTGCATACACGCACACGGATGTGGCTCTTGGAGAAGGGGAGAGGCAGGGAGGCCTGTGGTCGGCTGCTGGGCCAGAGCCCAAGTTCCCACTGTGGCTTGGCCTAATCTCCCTCTTGCTTGTTTTTTGGGGTGACCAATGTTGTCTACCCCCCTTCTTCTGGTCTTAGGGCCACTGAGGAGAGATATCACCAAAACAGAGGGGAAGATATTGGGTGAGAACAGAGCCTGTGGGGTCCAAAGGCTTCTCTAGGCCTGGCCACGTCCACAGCTTCTTTGCTTCTCCTGGGTCAGCAGCTACTGCCACTCATGGTGCTCTGCCCCTATGTGGTGCTATACTGGTAATGTCAGCTAATGTGAGTCTGTGTGACCTATAGTCACTCATAGACAGGCAATTTTACTTTTATTCTCATCTCACTGCTAAGAGAACTGAGGTAGACAGAATGTGACTAGAAGCATGAGAGTCCCCATACTTTCTACCCTTCTTCCCAACTCTAGTCTCTCCCCTCTTATTCTCTCTTCCCTTGTGTGCATTGACCTCTATTTATAAAATTACTAGAAAGAATATTGTGGGTGTTAGGTGGCAAGTATGAGTAGAGATGGGGGAAAGAATCAAGTCCTGATGGAAGGATTTCAGAATACCTGTAGCCATAAGGAGGCAGCTACTTACCCTGACTCAGTCCAGGCTGGCCTGAGAGGATGATACTTTAAAGATGGTGAAAATAAGATTTCAGGGCATGGTAAGCAAGTCATGGTCTCCCTGTCTACCCTATATAAGCAGGTCTTGCATATGACCAGGGGCAGGCCTGAGGTTGGAAGTGAGCTCTTGGGAATGTAGATTTGCCCTCCAAAGGGCAAAAATTCTTCTCTCCCTAGGGTGGAAGACCTGTCACAGATAAGAAGAAGCTTTAGAGCTGGGTGCTGGTGGCTCATGCCTGTAATCCTAGCTACTCAGGAAGCTGAGATATGAGGATCACGGTTCAAAGCCAGCCTGCACAAGAAAGTTCGTGACTCTTACCTCCAAGTTACCACCAGAAAACTGGAAGTGGCACTGTGGGCTAAGTGGTAGAGCATTAGCCTTGAGCAAAAAAGCTCAGGGACAGTGCCCAAGTCCTGAGTTCAAGCCTCACAACCAACAAAAAATAAAAAAAAAAGAGGCTTTGGCCACAGGATAATTTTTCTGGCCTCCTCCTCTCCTAGCATCCCTCTCAGAGGGAAAACCAACCAACCAGTGATGGTGGAAAAGAGATCCATAGGTCCTTGGAAGTGCTAAAAAGACCTGGAGTGGCTTGGGATCCCAGACCTTAAAACTACAGAGAGCTGTGGGCACTGACAGGGACTAGGCAAAGAACAGGAGATGAATTTGGGGCCAGCAAGCAAGCAACAGAGGAGTATAAGCAGATACATCTTACAATGCACTTAATGGGAACAAGAACCTGGGTACTAGTGCCCAATGAGCAAGCTTTAATACACAAATGTGCCCTGTGTACACTGGTGCAAGCAGACATGCCATTGGCCCACAGCCAAGGTGTACATACACAGAAAGAATGCTCATAAACATGCTTAGTGGGCTGTGATGTAGCTCAAATGTAAAACGCTTGCCTAGCAAGTGCAAGAAACTGGGTTCAACCCCCAGTACCAAAAAAGAAAAGACAAAAAATAAAGTTAAAAAAATAGTGATCTGTGACTCAAGAAGTCATTCATTCAGAGAAGCATAATAGGTTGGGCACCAAGGGTTCAGCCATATAAACCTCGCTACTCAGGAGACTGAGCCCTAAGGATTGCAGTTCAAAACTAGGGAGACAAAACTAGGCAGGCAAAACTAGGCAGACAAATGAGAGACACTTGTCTCCAATTAACCAGAAAAAAGTTGGCACTAGAGGCATGTGGTAGAATGCTAGCCATGAGTGAAAAGTCTGCATGAGAGCATGAGGCTCTGTTCTGAGTTCAAACCCAATACTGGCACAAAAACAAAACAAGCAAACAAAAACAATAACTTATTGGAAAGAAACTGTGTGAACCTGAGCTTTCTCAGACATTGTCCTTCGTCTACCAAGTGAGCTGGTGAATAAGATGGTCTCTACTCTCAACAGTGCTCACACAGGTGGACACAGATGCCTTTATATTCTCTAACACTGATACATACAGAGTCACCTTCTGTCCACTCAGGCCAAGAGCCTAGACTCTCTCCTTGGCACCCAACAAAGCTGGGTTGAGGAGTCCCACTCTCCTGGACTTCATCTGTGGCTTCTTCCTAGCTTCTCTGCCCCATACTCTTTGAGTCCCTCTCTTTGTTCCTGCTTCTGTGCAGCTCTTCCCAAACCTTTTCTGTCTGGCTGAGAATGGCTGGTATCTTTACCTAGCCCCCAGTTACCTCCTGTATGATGTACTCCATCTTCCTGCCATGCCCCACACTCTGCCCATGGGAACTGAGCCCCCAGTGGGGGAGGGAGCTACAAAGAAAGCCCCTTGGGCGGGAAGCAGGTGTTGTGAGGCAGTGAGGACTCCTATGGCCTGAGACAGGATGGGGGGGCAGCTGGAGACATTCAACTGGAAGAGCTGAGCAGGTGGCTTTTCTGCAGCTGTTTTCTGCCTCCATAAACCTGATAGGACTCCTGGCTGCCCCCACTCTGCCGGCTCCTTCCTTCTCAGTGGGGGAAGGCGGGGAAGAAAGCCTCAGATCCTTTACTGAGAAGCATTTGCCACTTTACTTCTTCCATTTTACAAGAGGGAAATATCTGGAGCTGCCTGGAGAAGTCAGGGAAGGAAGGGGCACCTGTAGCCCACGTACATAGTGGTGGAATGTAAATGAAAAAAAAAAAAAAGTATCTTGGTCTGATGTGTGTCTCTTTCCCTCTGCTAGCTCAAATTGAAGTGATCCCTTGCAAAATCTGTGGGGACAAGTCTTCCGGAATCCACTACGGGGTTATCACCTGTGAGGGGTGCAAGGTAAGTTGTGCATGGGTATGCACACTCCTCTCGAGAGCTGGAGGCCAAGGTCTCAATGGTCAACTGAGGCAGCTAGGGAGCTTCCCAGTGGTGTTTCCCTGCAAGGAACTGAACAAATTACACAAGAGGGAGGTGAGCCAGCGCAGGAAGCTCATGCCTGTAATCCTATAAATTTAGGAGGCTGAGATCTAAGGATTGTGATTCAAAGCCAGCTTGGGCAGGGAAGTCCGTGAAGCTCTTACCTCCAGAAGTGTGGCTCAAGTGGTAGAGTGCTAGCCTTGAACAAAAGAGTTCAGAGGGACAGTGCTCGGGCCCTGAGTTCAAACTACTGGAATGGCATTTAAAAAGAAAGGGAGGGAGGAAGGAAGGAAGCAAGGAAGGAAGCAAGGAAGGATGGAAGGAAGGAAGGGAAGAGGGAAGATGGTAAGAAGACTGAGGATGGGAGGATGGATGGCTAAAGGATGTGAAAAAGCTGGGTCAGGACCACCCTGGGCCTGGACAGGGTAAGCAGCCTTAACCTCCCCCATGCCTTCCACAGGGCTTCTTCCGTCGGAGCCAGCAGTGTAATGTGGCCTACTCCTGCACCCGTCAGCAGAATTGCCCCATCGACCGCACCAGCCGTAACCGATGCCAGCACTGCCGTCTGCAGAAGTGCCTAGCACTGGGCATGTCCCGAGATGGTGAGCCCAAACAGGCTGCTCTGGCAGGGGGGATTTTCTTGCAGTCTGTAGAGGGATAGCTAGACCTACTGTGCCAGATGGATTGGACTGAAAAATGCCCTTCCTGAGACCTCCTTCCATTTCTCCTCTTGACAGCCCCTTGTCTCTTCCCTTTGGAGTCAGTCCTTTAAAGCTCTTCAGAGGTTCTGTCCCAACAATCCTTTATCAAGATCCCAGTCCTCTCATCTCTTCTTCCTGAGATGGATTCTCTTCACACTACTTCCCTCTTGCCCAGCTCTCATCTAGTGTCCGTGTCTTTCCCTTCTGACTGTGGTTTACGTCTGTGAAGACCTAGTTTACCTCCATCTTCCTCCCTGAATTCCACCCCCCCCCGCCCCACAAATTCCACTCAAGGACATGGGACTATGGCGAAGAATGGGAGCAGAATTAGCCTAAGGAAGACCCAGAAGGAGGGGTAGGGAACAGATGTTCCCAGTGTCTTCACCCACCACCTTCTCACCAGTCCCCTCAGGTCCCCCACCACTGAGGAGCTGGGGGAGGAGGGGGACACTAGGTGATGAGGATGCAGAAGGAGCCTGTCAGCACTTTTCAGTGCTCAAAATAACAAAGCGAAAGGAAACATGCAGGGGTGCAAAGGGGCAGGCAGGGTGAGGGGCTGTGCCCCCACACCTGGGAGGGGGAGCGGGGTGGGGGTGAGTAAAAGGCAGGAAAGAGAGAGCAGAAGAGGATGTTCAGAAGCAAGCCACGGAGCCTGGGTTGGGCTGTGGTGAGTATCTAGGTCACCAGGGAGCCTGCAGGCCTGACCACAGGGAGACCTGTGTTCTCAGCCCTCCTCTTCCTCCGGCCCTCCCAGACAGGCATGCTGACCCCAATACAGCCTGAGGCCTCCCCCTACCTGACACTTCCCCCACCCCCAATCTCAGAAAGCCAGAATCCCCCTACCCAGGTTCATTGTTTGAATTCTGCCACTATTAGAAGCTAGTTGAACATCCATACGATTTTGTTCAGGAAATGGAAATGGCAGGTCAGGTATATCCTGAAGGGTTTCAGAGTGAGGGGTGGGAGGAGACCTAAGTTCCCAAAGTAAAGGTTCTTGGAGAAGGCCAGAGAAGTTGGGCTTGGAGTCAGAGGGCAGTTGGTCCATCCTGGAATGATCCTTGTCTGCTGACCTTGCCCTGAGCCTTGCATGTTCTACCTCCTAAACTCCTGATCTCTTGGTCTCTTTCAGCTGTCAAGTTTGGCCGCATGTCCAAGAAGCAGAGAGACAGCCTGCATGCAGAAGTGCAGAAACAACTCCAGCAGCAGCAGCAGCAGCAGCAGCAACAGGAACAAATAGCCAAGACTCCTCCAGTAGGGGGCCATGGAGCAGATATCCTCACCTACACCTTGGGGCTCCCAGATGGCCAGCTGCCCCTCGGTGCCTCACCTGACCTGCCTGAAGCCTCTGCCTGTCCTCCTGGTCTCCTGAGAGCCTCAGGCTCTGGGCTGCCATATTCTAACAACTTGGCCAAGACAGAGCCCAAAGGGGCCTCCTGCCACCTTGAGTACAGCCCTCAGAGGGCCAAGGCCGAGACTAGAGAAAGCATCTATAGCAGAAACAGCCAGATTACTCCTGGAAAATGTGGACTTCCTTTGGAGGGCCCCAGGCACTCTGGGTTTGGGGATCCAGGACAGGGTCCAGACAGCTACTGCAGCCCCAATATCTGCAGTACCCCAGAGGCACCGTATGCCTCTCTGACAGAGATAGGTAAGCACCCGGGAAAGCCAAGACAGTGGTGGAAATGAGGGAGGGTTAGTTACATCAAACAACCATGAGCCTCAAGAAAGCAAGGGGTCCTGGACAAGGGGCCAAGACAGGCAGTAGACCCAGCAGGAAGCATCTTGTAAGTGGGGGTAGGAGCTGGCTGAGATTTGGTCATGCCTTTCTTCTCTGGCCCCAGAACATCTGGTACAGAATGTCTGCAAGTCCTACCGAGAGACATGTCAGTTGCGGCTGGAAGACCTACTACGGCAGCGTAATAACCTCTTCTCCCGGGAGGAGGTGACCAGCTATCAGAGAAAGGTAAGGCCAGAACATGTGGCAAGTGAGCATGTCCCATCACCAGAGATGGATACCTGCACAGACTCAGGGGCTAAAGGGGAAGAAGGCAAGATACTGCAGATAAACACAGGCTGCCCAACAAGTGTATATACTGCGAGTGTGGTGTGTTTCTGCCTACACCCTAGCAAATGGATAAGAGCTTTCCCTTAGCCCCTGCTATTAAACTTCACTCAGCTTCCAACTTACTCCCCTACTATCTAGAACTTGATATACTCTCTCTTCTCTCTCCCTTCCTCCTCCTTCTCCTCTTCATTTACCTTTTGGGTCAGTACTAGCTCTACTCAGAACCTGAGTTGTGTTATAGAGAATACCCTTTTTCTGCCAGGCACCATAATAAATGCCTTACATAGATTATCTTTGAGCCTTCAAATAACCAGACTACAAGAGTGGTATTTACTGCTGTATGGATTTAATCACAATCATAAAGTGACGGAAACAAAATCAAATTCAGATCTAATGGCTCTGACGATACCACTTACTCTAAAAAGCACTCGTTTGCACATCCCACTGACTTCTAAAGCTTACTAAGACCTTGGGTGTGTTTTGGGAGGAGATGAAGAGTAAGTAGGCTTTGAGGGTAAACCATACCTCATATGGTTTTTATTCCCCCACAACAGCTAATACAGTGTACTTCAGGAAGACTCTCCACCCCCCTGTAGCATAATCCTTAGTGCCTAGTATTAAAAGAGCTACATGGAATACTAGGCTACCAGGGAGAACATAGCTTGAGGTTAGGAAAAGTTGCCCTTTCATCTCTCCTCTGTTTCCTTTGTACTGAGATGGTAGATGCTCAATAAGTAGGATCACATGACAGGAATGGACTTGTGCCTTTGTGCTAATAAAGGTTTTGAATTTTTCCAGAACATGGGAGTTCAGAACCTACCACCTGCAATTTATTATATGGCACTCCTAGGGGCTTGGAGGGATCACAGGGCCACACAGGGCTACAGCAGATCTCCATTCTGTCCCTGCAGTCTATATGGGAGATGTGGGAACGCTGTGCCCACCGCCTCACTGAAGCCATTCAGTATGTGGTGGAGTTTGCCAAGCGGCTCGCAGGCTTCATGGAGCTCTGCCAGAATGACCAGATCGTACTACTGAAAGCAGGTGCCACGGGATAGGGAGGTAGACCTTGGGGAAAGGGGACAGAGCATGGAGTGGGAAAAGGCCAAGTGGAGGGAGGTGGCTTAAAGATACCAGGACACTGAGTGGGGCAGAAACAGGCTGCTGGCTTTGTTTCATGCTGTCCATCCATCTTTTCTTCCCTCTCACCAGGAGCAATGGAGGTTGTGCTGGTCAGGATGTGCCGGGCCTACAATGCTGATAATCATACAGTCTTTTTTGAAGGGAAATACGGTGGCATGGAGCTGTTTCGAGCCTTGGGTGAGGGGCAGTGGTGAATGAGAAGGAGGATTCTGATGCCAACCCCATGCAATGCTTTGTGATCCTTTTATATAGAGCTGGCTGATCTTCCCCTCTGTTCCTAGCATCCAGAGGGCGGTGTCTTTGGGCACATGGTCTCATCTGCCTTGCTTACTCTTCTGCTTTCTACTCCATCAGGCTGCAATGAGCTCATCAGCTCCATCTTCGACTTCTCCCACTCCCTCAGTGCCTTGCGCTTTTCCGAGGATGAAATTGCCCTCTACACTGCCCTTGTTCTCATCAATGCCAGTGAGTGTGACTGGGCCTGACTTGGGAAAGGACATTCTGGAGGCTGAGGCACAGCAGATACTAAGTCTAGGCCTATGTATGTAGTTAAATCTAGGAGCTAGCAGGATGAGCCCTGCCCCGTACTGCTATACAATCAAATCAGTTCAAATAAAGATGCCAAGGACCCTTGGAACAGGACAAAAACCAGCATTAGGTGGTGTGGTTGGATCAGGGAGAAGTGAGAGTCAGAGGAAATGAGCTACTTCCCTGATAGAAATTAGTCTGATGACTCCTTTGTAGCATACATTGGAATTATCTGGGGAGCTCTAAAACCTATTGCTGCCTGGCTCTCACTTCCAGAGTTTCTGATGTAATTGGTCTGAGTTGCACTTGAATTTTTAATAGCCTCCTCCAGGCCATCAAGATTGAGAATCCCTGCTCTGTACAAGATCCTTTAAGACCGAATGCCTTCAATGGCATGGCTACGGGTATCCAACCTCACTGGACTAGAGTGGCTAGCCTGAGCCAGCTAAACACTAAGTCCTCAGAGAATCTGCAGAAATGGGTTTGGCTGCCAACCTGGATTTTCAAATCATTCTTCTAGCTCTGCCAATATGCCCCTTTCAACTGGAAATTAAAGCTTTAAATGCAACTTCTTGGTATTTAAGGGAAACAGGTCAAAAGGTGGTTTGGGAGTTGAAGTGAGTCACAGACTGCTGCAGAGGTCTGGAAAGGGCCTGAGTGGCTCCTATCAGAAGCCACTCACATAGGAGAGTTGGGAACTTCCTTCCTATTTTTATTTCCCCCTGTGGCAGAATGGGCTATGTGAAATACCAAGTTATCAGGGAGAAGGTAGCTTGAAGTTAGAAGATTAGAAGTTTCCATCCCCTTCATTTCTCTCCAGTTTCCCTTGCAGACAGCTAGGTCCCAGAGCTAATGGCTCCCAAACCAAGATACACATACACATACACACACACATGTACACACAGTTCAGAAGATCAGATATGTGAAAAGACCCAACACATTCCTTTTGCGTAGAATCCATGTTCTTTCTGTTCTCTCTTTGGTCCCATCCCTTCCTTCAGACAGACCAGGGCTCCAAGAGAAAAGGAAAGTGGAGCAGCTGCAGTACAATCTGGAGCTAGCATTCCATCATCATCTCTGCAAGACCCATCGCCAAGGCATTGTGGCAAAGGTAGGAGCAATCTCAGGGGTAGAAAAGGCCAGGACCAATGACAGATCTGTGACATCTGGGTATGTAACACAGGGCTAGGATCTGAGGTTGCAAAGGAAGGACTGCTGAATGCCACATTATGCCAGAGAGCTTGCAACAGCAGTAGGGACTGAGGAAACAAGCAACTACTTCCATGTGTACAGAGATGGAAAGTTAGAGTCTGGAATTAAAAGGAACCTCCAGGGAGCAATTCAGTTTAATATAGCCAACATTTACAAAACACCTGCTTGTATAAGGCACTGTGGAAAGATACAGATTCAGCTTTTGACCTCACCAAGATATTTTAGACTGGTATAAAGAGATTTGTGTACCTTTTAATATACCCCTAATATAGAGTAGAATGTGATATGTGATGTTATAATAATGAGATTAACAAAGTGCTTTCACTAATATGTTCTATCATCCTTTTGGCAACCCAGTCAATAAGGACAGGTGTTAAAAATCTTCCTGTAGCAATGACTTGTTTATGTGACTCAACTGATAAATGCACATTTTAATTCCAGTAGTTTTATTTTTTTGTCCCTTGTCTCTGTGTCCCCAGTATGCTGTTGTAAAAGCCTTTGGAAAAAGGGACTAGAACAAGGATTCCAACAAGTTGAGTGCAAAAGGAGTGACACATAAATGCTTCCTAGAAAAGGTAGCACTTAACAAGGTCATATTAGAGATAAGGTTTTAACAGACCTCCGTGAGGGTGTGGCAGAAATTCCAGGCTTAGGGAATGATATGAGCAAAACTAAGAAGGCAAAGTAGTGTGTAGTTGGGGAATAGCTGACAGTACTTTTTGAATAAAGTGTAAGTTCAGAAGATGGGATTGGGGGCTGGGAAGGTGGCTCAGTGGTAGAGCGCTTGCCTTGCATGCATGAGGCCCTGGGTTCGATTCCTCGGCACCACAAAAGCAAAAAGAAAAAAGCCAGAAGTGGCACTGTGGCCCAAGTGGTAGAGCACTAGCCTTGTGCTGAAGAGCTGAGGGACAGCGCCCAGGCCCAGAGTTCAGGCCCCACGACCGGACCCCCCCCAAAAAAATCAGAAGATGGGATTGATGAGGCTGAAGAATAGCCAAAGATAAGTCTGAAAATAGAGGAAAATCAGGGAGAATTTTCAGTGTCATAGAAAGAGGGAATTCCGAAGCTAGGGAAATGCTACAATTAGAGGTGTTATTAGGCAATTTACTTGGGAAGCAATATGAGGATCCATTGGATAATCACTCAAACAGTCCTTTGCTACATGCTAGGCACAGCGCTAGTGTTGAAGATCCACATATGACTTTTGGGGCTGCATGCAAAAGACATTCACTTAGCTTCAGTTGGGTTTTTTTTCTTTGTTTGTTTAACATATACATACTTTTACCAATGGGATTTGACTGATCCAAAGTGCCAAGTACTTAGAGCAAAAACAAGGAGAGGTAGTACAGTCCGGCATAGGCAAGAGGACTTGTTTGCTCTGAGGAGAATGCTGACCGTTCTCTCCATTAACCCATCCTCAGCTGCCACCCAAAGGGAAGCTCCGGAGCCTGTGCAGTCAGCATGTAGAAAAACTACAGATCTTCCAACATCTCCACCCCATTGTGGTCCAAGCTGCTTTCCCTCCGCTCTACAAGGAACTCTTCAGCACTGAACTCGAGTCTCCTGAGGGGCTATCCAAGTGACCTGGAGAAGGGACACCTTTCCTCTTCTTTCAGCCTGCTGGCCCACCTCCCTGGACCCTGTTCCACCATCAGTCTTTTCCTTCCTATGCCTCCTGGAGGGTGGTCCTGCCTATGCCCTTGGGGTGAACAAATGCTAAGACTGGTTTTCTGCCTCCCAGGCTTGCCTAGTAGTGGATAGGGATGGAGAGAAGTCTTGCTCCACCTCACTTCCCAGAGCCTCTGCCCCAGCTTCTGGCAGGTGTGGGGTGAGGTAAGATATAAGAACCTCTAGGAGCACTAAGATGTCCTCAAGAATTTAGGGAATGAATCCAAGCATCCTGGATGAAGAAGACTCAACTCTGGGCTCAAAAGCGAAGAACCGACCTTTGAAATACCTCATTGCATTTCCCCTTGAGCTTCAGCTAGGGGAAATGGATCAAGCTCAGAGACTGGTGGCAAGCGCCCAGAAGGACCTGTACATAACACGAATCTGGACCCTTAGATTTTTCCACCTTTTTCTTTTCTCTCAGTACACAAAGATTTGTTAGGCACCCTGTCCTTTTCCTGGGATCTAGAAGAACCTGGATATGTGGAGAGTAAAGGATGGGGGTAAGAGGCCGGGATAACTGCTTTATGGGGTTTGGATATGGAAACAAAGCATAAAAGAGGCCAAGAGCATCAGAGTTCAAAGTAAAACCTGTCATGAGCACTTTAAAAACAGACTTTAGGAGTTAGCACAAATCTAATCAGACATACCCATTCTATACAAGTGAAACACATACCAAATTCATCCTATAAAAGGTGGTCCTAAGAACATATCTTTTCTGACATCATGTACTTTTTTTGTTTGTTTTTTTTGTTTTTGTAGTACTGGGATTTGAAGTCAGAGCTTCAAATTTGTTTGGGAGGAGAGCTACCACTTAAGCTACATATCCAGCCCTTTATGCCCTGGTTATTTTTTATTTTATTTTATTTTATTTTTTTTGTTGGTCCTGGGGCCTGAACGCTGGGCCTGGGCACTGTCCCTCAGCTCTTCAGCTCAAAGCTAGCACTCTACCACTTGAGCCATGGTGCCACTTCCGGCTTTTTCTGCTTATGTGGTGCTGAGGAATGGAACCCAGGGCCTCATGCATGCAAGGCAAACACTCTACCATTGAACCACCTTCCCAGCTCCCCTGGTTTTTTTTTTTAGATAGGGCTTTGCTTTTTGCCCAGGTTGGTGTGGACCTCAATCTTCATATTTACACTTCCCCCAACAGCTGGGATAAACAGGTGTGTATTACTATGCCAAGTTTTCTTGGTTGAGATAAGGCCTCACAAATCCTTTATCTGGAGTGGTCTCCTGGCCTCTATCTGAGAGTAGATAAGATTACCAGCACCAGGCTACAATCTCCTTGAGTTCACTCAGAGAAACCAAGTGGCCTCAGGGAAGTCCCCCTGTCTGACAGGACTCCAGAACATTTCCATGGTGCTTCAGTTTACCTATCTTAAACCTGGGATGTACAAACTCCATTCCAGCTCCGGCTGTCTTTTATCATACAAACCCCCCAACAGAAGTGGAAACAGCTGGACAATTGCTAATCAAAATGTCAAGGACAACCCCTGGGAGAACTTCATTAACCTTGGCCTCCAGCCCTGCTCTCACTCTACAGAAAGCTGGTGTCATCCCACATCTGTGACTGCCTGCCTCTGACTCCAGCATGAGGGGGAGACCAGGAACAGGGCAGGGACCTGTTTCTCTTACCATGATCGCACCCCTGAACTTCTCTCAGCTTTGTAAATGACTGCAGACCCTCCAGAAGGGATAAGCACCAGATGATTGAGAGAAGGGGATATTTTTTTTCTTCTCAGGGGAAAGGTTTAGCTGGGTAAACCTAAACCCCAACTTCTGCCATTGTTTATAAAATGATTTAAAGCAAATGGTGTGTGGGGTGTAGGGTATGTGTGGATGTGTGTCGGGGTGCGGGTGTGTGTTGGAGGTGGAGGGAGCCTTTTGAATACAACTACCTACATTTCTGACCTTTGGTCTTTTTCCTATGTAGAGTCAGCAATTCATTTGTTTCATAAGGACTTTTGTCCCTTTCTCCTCCCTTCCCAATCCCTGATTCTCCCATGGCTGGAGTTCCAATCTCCCTGTGACGTTTGTAAATTGATCATCAGGTACCTCCATGAAAGGGCTTCAAGCTAAGCTCCACGGGGGATGTTCTGGGCAGGGAACTTTCCCTTGGGGCCGTTTAGAGGTTGCACAGAAAATCTGAGCAGTTCAGCCACTAAAAGACAATCCTCTGGTAGTGGTTGACCCACGAGAGCTCTCTAGCACCCCAGAGGGGGAGCAGGATGTCAGAGAGACCTTTGCAAGCTTTCCAATCCCTCCCTGGCACAGAGCCCTTCTTGCAGCCTCCCCCTACTCGTCATCCTGTAGTGGTGCTTGCTGCAGCCCTCCCTGGTTGCTTTATTTATTTATTTTGCACCAACAGGGTTGCGGCAGACTCATTCTTGCCTGGTTTGAAAAGAGAGAGAGAGAGAGAGAAAAAGGAGAAATGCTTCCTGGCTCTTTTCTCTCCCTCAGTCTTGGCAGCATTGGCTGCAGCCACAGCAGCGCAGCGGCTGGCTGGCTGGCCGGCTGGCGGCTGGCTGGCGGGTGGCAGGGAGTGGGGAGTCAGACACACAGGAGGGTGCAGGGGTTCTGAGGTGCAGCACGAATGGGACAGGCCCCCAACTCTGGACAGATGCAGTGCCCAACTTGATGCTACCCTCCAGCTTCTCTGGTAAGTGCCCCTACCCTCTGTCCTGAAGCCACAACTGCCCTTTGCCATAACATTCTCACAGACAAGGCCAGATTATGTGCCTATCAAGGAAAGAGGATTTGCCCTCCTGCCCCGGACCATCCCAAGACTAGCCCCCCACCCCAGGAATTTGATGGGAAAAATAAAATACCCCAGGGTGGAAGGACTCCAAGGAGATCCCCTTTCCTTCTTCCCACTTTTCCTCTACCTCTGGGAAGCACCCCCCTCTGTGTGGATATTCCAGAGATCTTTCCCAGGAGCCCACCTCCTCAAGGTCCCTATGCCTCTATCAGGTATGCTTTAAAGAGGACATCCATGTTTGCATGTGTCTCCAGACTGACACACAGAGATAAGAAGAAAAGTTCCCTGTCCCTGAGGTCCCTGATACCCCAGACCCCACCCCATTGCAGGGAAGAAAGAAGGGCTTTTGATAGCTGTCTCTTCCTGCAAAGTGGCCAGATGCCAGTCGTGTAGCCACAGAGGGTGGTAGGGATAGTTTGTGATAAAAAATTAGCCACTTTAAAAATAAAAGAGGCCAGCCCTAGGTCCCCCAGTCCTTAACTCAGCAGGCTTTGGGGACTAAGAGGAAACTTACAGGAGCAGGAAGGAAGGAAGCTGGGTTCCACGCTTCATTGCACTTTTGCTGAATGCAGAACACACAAAGGGAGAAAAAAAAAAAAAAAAGGATGAGCAGGAACTGCAGCGGCAATGATGAAGAGCTAGCAGTCAGGTGGACTTCCCAGAATGGTTACAGGGAGGCTGGGACATGGATCTCCTTGGAGAACTCTTAGCACGCCACCGAGATACCTGTTAGGTTGGGATAGGGGCAAGAAGAGTGCAGCCTTTGCCCCTTACCATTTTTTCTTTCTTACCACTTGAGCTAAGCATGGTTTCCTGCATGCCTCATTCCAATCCCCCTCCCACTCTGCATCAGCCTCTTTCTTTAGTTGCTCAAATACTACAGTCCTGTGAATTGGCTAAAGGAAGAGGATGAAGTCACACCATCTCCTAAATTGCCTCTTCTGTGGTTCAGCATGGGAGAAAATGGGTCATGTAGCAGAAAGCTAACCCTCACAGGGCTAAGAAAGCCTCAAGTCCCAAAGCCTTGAGGTGATGAGACCTGTAGCCTGGGAGAAACTGAGGCATGCTGCCTCCAGGAGCACCAGTTGGCTCTTGCTCCTATTCTTTTGTCATCTCTTGTCACCTCCTCCAGGGTTGCACTTAATGGTTGGAGCCAAGAGGCTCTTACCACTAGATAGCCCTCTTCCTCTATCACCTTGCCCAGCACTATCCTCTTGATAATTGCCCAGGCCCTTGGTACCCAGAAACCACTTTAGACAGGATCTATCTGTACACTGCCTGTGCCCAGGTATCTGCTATGCAAACCTAGAGCTCCCTTCCTTCCCAAGCTACCTCTCTTCCCTTATCTATGCCTCACTCGATCCCAATCTGCCTCTTATATATTCTCAGACAGTTAGGGCCAAAGAGGTCAAGAGCTCTCCCTCAGAGCTACAAAACATCCTTAATACCCATATATCCCTACATAGGATACAGGGATATAAAAGAAGCCTAAAACCAAGGACCAAGCAACAGAATTAAAAACTTGAGCACCCTTTGGATCTTTCACACACCACAACTCCATCTGTAGGGGGAAAGGGACTGCCTGGAGGCTCTTGTAGGATTCTCAGCGTCTCTATCAAGTGTCCCATGTACTCTATGCCATGGCCAATGTGGAGCTGTGCTGTCATCCACACAGAAACTACATCTGCTAGTCCAGGGTGCGGGCTCTGGGCCAGGCTAGAGAGGGGGCAGAGTCTGGGGGTAGTGGGCATGTTCCCCAGACTCGGGCAACTTAGTCAAAGAGAAGACCTCTCTCCAGTTAGGCCAGAGAGTTCTGGCCAAGGGTGTGATCGCCCTGAGCCTTAGGGAAAACTGTGGGTTCAAATACTGGGCAAACGGGTGGGTCGAAGGGAATAGAAAAGAATTTGTAGAGAGCAGATATCAAGGAGAAGGGAGGGACCGGAGGTATGTCCAGATCTCACAGGTGCAGAAAAACCCATTACAGACTCAGTTACTTCCTTGTTGCTCTCCGTCCCATTCCCACAAAGCCTTCCCCATAGGAATCAAGATGACTAGGGTCCCATGAGCTAAACACATGGCCATTTATCCAGGGAGGGAGTGAAACAGAGAAAAGTCCCCAAGGGAGGTGATGCACTGGAAGTCTTTGTTCTGGCAATGCTGAGACCGATCACTTTTTCTCCCCTCTAAGGAGAACCAGGGAAGTCCAGGGATCACCATCATCTGAAGCTTCTTTCCCATCTTTCCAGGACTCAGGGGATGGACGCAGCCCTAATTCCAAAGCAAGCCTGGTCCCCATGGCACCCCCTGCTTCTCCTGCTCCTCCTGCCTGGAGGGAACACCAGCAGCTGTCCTGCTGTGTGTGACTGCACCTCCCAGCCCCGGGCAGTGCTCTGTGCCCACAGGCGACTGGAGGCTGTCCCTGGGGGCCTACCACTGGACACTGAGCTCCTGGACCTAAGTGGAAACCGCCTGTGGGGGCTTCAACGGGGCATGCTTTCCCGACTGGGCCTCCTCCGGGAACTGGACCTCAGCCACAACCAGCTCTCCACCCTTGAGCCAGGGGCCTTCCATGGTCTACACAGTCTATTAACTCTGAGGCTGCAAGGGAATCGGCTCCGAATTATGGGGCCTGGCATCTTCTCAGGCCTGCCTGCCCTCACACTGCTGGATCTCCGCCTTAACCAGATTGTCCTCTTCCTAGATGGAGCTTTTGGTGAGTTAGGCAGCCTCCAGCAACTGGAGGTTGGGGACAACCACCTGGTGTTTGTGGCTCCAGGAGCCTTTGCAGGATTGACTGAGCTAAGCACCCTTACCCTGGAGCGCTGCAACCTAAGCACAGTACCTGGTCTAGCCCTTGCCAGGCTCCCAGCACTAGTGGCCCTTAGGCTTAGAGAACTGGATATTGAGAAACTGCCAGCTGGGGCCCTGCGGGGGCTGGGGCAACTAAAGGAGCTGGAGATCCACCACTGGCCATCTCTGGAGGCTCTGGACCCAGGAAGCCTGGTTGGGCTCAATCTAAGTAGCCTGGCCATCACCCGCTGCAATCTGAGCTCAGTGCCCTTCCAGGCACTGCACCACCTGAGCTTCCTCAGGGTCCTGGATCTATCCCAGAACCCTATTTCAGCCATCCCAGCCCGAAGGCTCAGTCCCCTGGTGCGGCTCCAGGAGCTCCGGTTATCGGGGGCCTGCCTCACCTCCATCGCTGCCCAGGCCTTCCATGGCTTGACTGCCTTCCACATGTTGGATGTGGCAGACAACGCCCTTCAGACCCTGGAGGAAACAGCCTTTCCTTCTCCAGACAAACTGGTCACCTTGAGGCTGTCTGGTAACCCTCTAACCTGTGACTGCCGTCTTCTCTGGCTGCTCAGGCTACGAAGACACCTGGACTTTGGCACGTCCCCCCCTGCCTGTGCTGGCCCCCAGCATGTCCAAGGGAAGAGCCTGAGGGAATTTTCAGACATCCTACCTCCAGGGCACTTCACCTGCAAGCCAGCCCTGATCCGCAAGTCGGGGCCACGGTGGGTCATTGCAGAGGAGGGGGGGCATGCTCTTTTTTCCTGCTCTGGAGATGGAGACCCAGCCCCCACAGTCTCCTGGATGAGGCCTCCAGGGGCTTGGCTGGGAAGAGGTGGGAGAGTGAGGGTCCTGGAGGATGGGACGCTGGAGATTCGCTCGGTGCAGCTACGGGACAGAGGAGCCTATGTTTGTGTAGTAAGCAATGTAGCTGGGAATGACTCCCTGAGAACCTGGCTGGAAGTAATCCAAATTGAACCACCAAATGGCACTCTCTCGGACCCCAACATCACCATGCCAGGAGCCCCAGGGCCATTTTTTCTAGACAGCAGAGGTGTGGCTATGGTGTTAGCAATGGGCTTCCTACCCTTCCTCACCTCAGTGACCCTCTGTTTCGGTCTGATTGCCCTCTGGAGCAAGGGCAAGGGCCGAGTCAAGCATCACATGACTTTTGATTTTGTGGCACCTCGGCCCTCTGGGGATAAGAACTCTGGGGGTAACAGGGTCACTGCCAAGCTATTCTGACATCTCCTTCTACACTGGAGACCCAGCCAAGTCCACTTTTGATACCAAAGGGGAACACAGAACCAACCAAGGCCCCTTGGGACCTCAACTTCACCCCCAGCAGCACAGATATCTCCCACCGCAGCCGCCTGCATTATGAGCAGCTAGTGATGGCTTCTGATAGAGGGGCTGCTGCCCCATGCTTTCCCAGGCTGAAGAGAGCATTGTCATCTCTTCTCTGAGGGAATTGCAGATCTAGACTCTGTAATCAGCCCAATCCTCCCTCCCCCACCCACAAAGCAGGAAACAGAACCAAGGCTCTAGCCTATTATTCTAATCACTAGGCATTCTTCACACACTTCTACCTTCTAATAACCAATAACAGTGGCCAAACACAGCTAGATTATTTCAAGCTGGGAAGTGCCAATTGCTTTTTTAAGTCTCTGCTCCTCTGAGGCAGTTTCCCTTTTTTTTCTGCTTCCTATTCCTATACCAGCGCTCATCCTAGGTGCAAAGAACTAGAGCCAAGGACCCTGAGGCTAAGGAGAAGAGGATGCATGCAAAATGGAGGCTGGGGGAAGGACAAACTATACACTGGCATGATGTCTGCATGAGCTTCCAGCCTCCATTGTCTGATCATTAAATTTGCTGCCAAAGGCCACTACAGTTGCAGTCAAAATGAAACACGATTTCTGCAACTTTCTTTACGTCAGTCTATTTCTACTCCTTTCTGGCTGCTCATTGATCATGTACCCCAGTAGACCTTGCTTCCACCTAATCCAACCTGACATTCAGGATTAGGGAGGCCCATCATGCCTGGAGAGATCAGCACCCCCAGCCCCTCCTCTCATTCTCAATACTTTCCCTTTTATGCTTCATCTCTGGGCCTGGGGGAGAGATTCCATGTTCCAGGGTAATCCTTCATGCAGAAATTCCAGCCTAGGACACCTAGTGTCTTCCTTCACATTTCTAAGTAATTTGGAAGGGTTGAAGATCCCTAGTGCCCTTGGGGGAAAGTCAGAAGAAGGGAACTCCTTGAAAATGAATAATCTGTCAAAGCTGTCAAAGGAGAGACCCCAAAAGCAGGAAGGGCTAGGCTTGAAGGAACAAGGGAGGGCAGCCTAGCAAGCTGCAGAGAAAAAGTGGGGGAAAAAGCAGCAGCCATGAGAAATGCCTGCTTGGTAACTTTGCAAGTCCGTAGGATCCATGTTTAGCACAGACTCAGTGGGAAGTTGTCTCTGGAGAGACGTCACCCAGATAGGGAAGGAGTGAGCGGTGAAACTGCTGACGACCAAGGAGTATGCTTCCAACAGAGGACAAAGCACAACCCCAAAAATGCAGAGATGCTGAGAGCTAAAGAGACCAGGCGACAGCATCAGCATCATCACAGGGGAAAGGGGGGAAGGGGGGGCCCAAGAGGAGCAGGAGGAGGGCAGACAGAGAATCACGAGGCTGGGAGCCTTTCTCTCGGCAACAACACCTGCCCAGTGTCCTTAGTTTCCTTCTTCCTGTGGAATCCTTGCCACCAAACCACATGCACACTGAGCTTGCTAGCCAATGCTGTCGTCCTTGCTCGGAGGAGACTCCCAGACAGGTGAGAGCAGCTGATGCCACTGAGGAGGCAAAGCTGGATTTCAGGGTAGACAAACTCTTCAGGGGAGTGAAGGTGAACGTGAGAACCTAGCAGTTTAAAGAGCAAAGCTGGACAAGCCAACATTCTTGAAAATGCCTATCCCTGAGCCCCTAGCCGCCTCACACACAATTCAATGGTCATCCAGCTAACTAATCTCCAGTTCGTGACATGCCCTCTTCTCCACAATCTTCCATCTGCATCTTATTGAGACTTGTAAGCCTGGTTCTTAGTCTGGTTGCCCTTTCTGCAATGCAGATACTGGTGGAAGCAACCTGCTGTTTAGACAAAGTTTCTCTGTGAAGGCCCCTGGGGCAGTCAGGAACAGATGTGTGTCTGGCACAGGGAGACATTGCTGATGAACATTTCATGAACATCTCAAGAGAAGACAGTCAGGGCTGGGAAGGTGGCTCAGTGGTAGAGCGCTTGCCTTGCATGCTCGAGGCCCTGGGTTCGATTCCTCAGCACCACATAAGCAAAAAGAAAAAAGCCGGTAGAGCGCTAGCCTTGAGCTGAAGAGCTGAGGGACAGCGCCCAGGCCTAGAGTTCAGGCCCCACGACCGGACCCAAAAAAAAAAGAGAAGACAGTCAACAGAAAGAGAAGTTGAGTCACACGTGTATTTTCAAATTTTCTGGTAACCACACATTTAAAAAAAAAATCAAAATAAAACAGATACAATTAATTTTTTTATTGTAAAGATACTATACAGAGGGTTACAGTTACATGAGTGAGGTAATGAGTACACTTCCTCTTGAACATTGTTACCCCCTCCATTGTTTTCCCCCTACCATCCCTTCCCTCCCTACCTTCCCCGAGGTTTTTTTTTTTATTGTGATTAAGTGATTACATAATTTCCAAAATTTCACAGTATTGTGGAATAATGATGCTCATTTAAAGTCACAAGTTCATTCTAACTTTCCTGGAGCAAATTGTCTATCACAGTCTATAACATATAACGGTGTTCACATGTTATACACCATACATGTGATCAGCAGCATTGGGATATTTAGTATTGGGATACAATTAATTTTAATACTATTTTATTTTACCCAATTTACCCCAACTTTTTTTTTTTTTTTGCCAGTCGTGGGGCCTGAACTCTGGGCCTGGGCACTGTCCCTCAGCTCTTCAGCTCAAGGCTAGTACTCTACCACTTAAGCCACAGTGCCACTTCCAGCTTTTTCTGCTTATGTGGAAGAATGGAACCCAGGGCCTCATGCATGCAAGGCAAGCACTCTACCACTGAGCCCACTTCCCAGCCCCATACTCCAACTTTTATCATTTCAATGGTAGCAGTATAAAAATCTGTAGTGAAATCATTTAACATTAATGTTTTTATACCAGGTCTTTGAAATCCAGTGTATTTTATACTTATGGCATATCTCTAGTCATTGCATCCGAAATAGCTTACTTACCTGTATTAGGTTTCATAAGATTAACTGTTGAAAACGTAGATTCATTCATCTAAACTGTTCCAGCTGGACACTGGTAGCTCACACCTGTAATCCTAGCTACTCAAGAAGCTGAGATCTAAGGATTGCAGTTCGAAGCTAACAAAAGTCCTTGAGACTTTTATCTCCAATTAACCACCAGAAAACTGGAAGTGGAGCTGTGGCTCAGAGTGGTAAACTGCTAGCTAGAAAAGCTCAGGACCAGTGCCCAGACCCTGACTTCAAGACCCAGGACCAATAAAAAATAAAAAAAAAAAGAAATAAAACATACTGTTCCAAACATTCTTGGATGTTTCCCAATACCTGAAAAAATATTTTAAATATTAATTACAATTAAGTGTTTTTAAAATTCCATGCCTCAAACTATCACCTTTATAAGTGCTTAGAACAACTACATGTGGTCAGTAGCTACTCTCTTGGCCAGAACTTCAGTCACTATGACCCGAGGCATGGATAAAGGTCTCCTCGATGGGCCAAGCATCACCCCCAGGAAACATATCTGCATCCTAAGGAGGTGCCTATGGTGTTGTTCCTGACTAACATACTCATTCAACTGCCAGAGCTCTTGCAGGATACCTTCAAGGGTTGCAACAAACTAATGTAACAAGGTTCATGCAGGAATCCACAAGTCAGTCCTATATGTTACCCATCTGGGAAGCCTGATCTTAGAGCAGCTGTGACTGTTCAGCTTTTCGTGTGTGTACACCAGTGAGTGTGCAAATGCATCTAAAAATGCAAGTAAGTTTGTGTATGCTACATGGTTTGGTGGGAGCATGTTCACATATAAGGATATGATGTTATATTGTGGGGGCAATCCAAAGGAAGCTCTTCCCGGAATGGGGTAGTGGAACAGACAGAAGAAAACATTTATGGAGGGCCTATTTCACATGAGTGGCTGCATGTATGTTTTTTCTTTTCTTTTTTTTTGGTCTGAAACCAGGACTCAAACTCAGTACCTGACACTTTCCTTCACTGACTAGTGCTCTACCAGCTGAGCCATGCCTCCAATCCCTGCATGTATGTTTTCTTATTTAGCCTTTACATCAATCCTACAAGGCAGACAGACAACTTAGCTGATTAAGTTGATCAGGTGCATAGAGCTAATTAGTAAGGATACTGAATTTGAACTCAGGGCTAAGTCAAAACCCATATAGTTTCCACCATACTGCTCCATCTGCTGTTGTCCTCTTTCAACTTTCCTGTGCAGGCCTTTCAGTTGTAGGATGTAACATCTTCTACTCGACTCACTCTGAACATTTAAGGACAATGGAATCATTTGTTGATTCTGGTCATCCTTCCACAACTTCAATGTACCTGATTCAGGAGGTTGTTTTCTAGTTTTTATTCCTTCTTCCCCATCTCCTCTTCCAGTGTCCTGACTGCCTCTGCCTCGGGGAGCAGAAATTCCTGGGATCAGACAAACTGAAGGGAAATGCCTGTTTCCCAGCAATGGATCTTCTCATGATTAAAAATGGAGACTTAGCTGGGTGCTGGTGGCTCACACCTGTAATTTTAGCTACTCAGGAGGCTGAGATCTGAGTATTACAGTTCAAAGCCAGCCAGGGCAAAAAGTCCATAAGCTTCTTATCTCCAATTCATCACAGAAAAAGCTGGAAGTGGTGCTGTAGCTCAAATAGTACAGTGCTACCTTGAGAAAAAGGAGCTTAGGGACAGTGCCCAGGCCCAAAGTTCAAGGCCCAGGATGCGGGAGGAGGGGGAGAAAAGGAGGTTTAAAAGCCATGTGCTGGTGGCTCATGCTCGAAATCTTAGCTACTCAGGAGGTTGAGATTTGAGGATCACAGTTCAAAGCCAGCGTGGGCAGGAAAATCCATGAGACTCTTTTATCTCCAATTAACCACCCAAAAAATTCTGGAAGTAGAGGTGTGTCTCGAGTGATAGAGTGCTAGCCTTGAGCAAAAAAATGTCAGAGACTTTTTTTTTTGCCCAGGCCTAAAGTTCAAACCTCAGAAATGGTTTGAAGAAAAAGGCTCAAAAGGGCTAGAGTGTAAAGCAGATGTTAGGAATGGGCTCTATCTGCTTCACCCACCAGCATCCACCTGTTGAGGACAGGAAGAAAACTCTGGCTCTAAGCAGCAAGCATGAGGAGGATGCAAGCTGGAGAACACCTGAGACCAAAGGCTTCCAGGTCCTGTTCCTTCAATCTGTTTTGTAAGAGAAACCAAGTAGGAGGACTTAAGAGCTGGATGGTGGTAGGTGGGGAAGCTAAGGAGAATTTCTCCCCTAGAATATCTGCCCCAATTCACCAATCTGATCTAAAAACAAAACAGTAGCACTAACATAAATGACAGTAAGGCTTCTATTCCCAGTTGATGCTTTCTGGTAAAGAGGCCTAATTAATGGGTGAGGCAAGGATGACTCCCATGCTGAGCTAAAGGAGAGATGAGTGTTATTTTTCAATTACTTAAACAACTAAATATTACTTGAATTCAGTACAGGAAGGGAACTCTGAGCAGCCAAGACTGTGGACCAGTCTACTTGAATTTGAAACCCCTCACTGCCCACAAGCTAGCTTAAAGTCTGCTTTCCTGCTTTAAATAATTGAGTGGAAACTTCTGACCACTGAATTCTCTGAACAAATCCAACCTTGTGTAAACTTAGTTTACCTACTGCCTCCTGTAAGCCTGTTTAGAACCCTTTGCACAAAATAATAATGGATTTTTAGGAATTGAGAAGGCTGTAATTGCAGGCTATAATCCCAGCCACTCAAAGGGTTTCAGATTGACCTGGGCAATAAAAGAGTGACTCTATTTGGGAAAAAAAAAAGAAAAAAGAAAAAAAATAGAATTAAAAGCAAAAGGACTCAAGGTATGGTTCAGGTAGTAGAACAGAAGAACAAAGCCCTGAGTGTCTAGTACTTAAAAAATAAAATACAGTGGGCCTATAAAATAATTCTGTGCTTTTTGTAACCACACTGAACACTGTTCCTTGGATTTAAACTACTGTTACCTGTTTTAAAGTAAAAAGGTATAGAGCAATCAAGGTGCTCAAATACATAAGTATTTATTCAGAAGACTCATGCAAATTCTATATGATGAAAATGCTAAAACATTACTAGCCAGGCACTGGTGGCTCATGCCTGTAATCCTAGCTACTTAGGTGGCTGAAATCCAGCAGGTTCCACTTCCAGGCCAGCCCAAGCAGAAAAGCCTGAGACTCCATTTCCAAAATAACATGCAAAAACCAGGACTGAAGGCATAGCTCAAGTGATAGAGCACCAACTTAGTAAGCACAAGGCCCTGAGTTCAAACCCCAGTACTATCAAAGTAACAAACACTACTGATAGAACATCAAAGAGTTAAATTGCAAGAAGATACTATATCATAAATACAACAATTCTTTAAGAAAATCCATGCAAGCACCAGTGGTTCACACGTGTAATCATAACTACTCAAAAGGCTGAGATCTGAGGATCGCAGTTCCAAGCAAACTTGGGCAGGAAAATCTGTGAGACTCTTATCTCCAATAAACTACCAAAAAAAAAAAAAAAAAGCCAGATCTGTGGCTCAAGTACTAGAATGCTAGTCTTAAGAAAAAAAAAAAAAAAGCTCAGGGTGCAGGGCGCTGATGGCTTACACCTATAATCCCAGCTACTCAGGAAGCTGAGATCTGAGGATCAAGGTTCAAAGCCAGCTGGGCAGGAAAGTCCCTAAGACTCTTTATTATTTCCAATTAGCCACCAAAATCCAGGTGTAGAATTGTGGCTCAAAGTGTGAGCCCTAGCCTCAAGCAAAAAAGCTCAGGGACAGCACACAAGCCCTGAGTTCAAGCCCCATGACTGCCCACCCCTCATAAACAAAACAAAAAAACAAAGAAGAAATCTAAAAATATGACTCCAAACAAAATAAAAATAGGAAAAAACAAATTATGTTATATCCTCATAACATAATACTAACATAGTAATGAGAATGAATAAACCAAATTATATTCAATATAGCTGCATCTGACAGAAATGATTTGAAACCCAGACCCAAAAGCAAGTATGTAAAATAATGTACATACTGAAACAAACTTCAAAGATACAGAAACAAAGGACTTCTTAAATTGTTTTTTGTTGTTGTTGTTGTTGACTCTGTATTCTTTATTTACAGTGTATTCTCATCCACATCTGTGGGAGGGTAAGGAGGGAGGGCACAGAATCAGAGAAAAAAGGCTGAATAAGTGCAGCAGTGGAGCACAGTGGCTGCAGTGGACATTGATGAAAGTAAGCTATGCAACTCATGAGTGGAGATGGGAGGGAGGGAATGGGAGAGAATGAGGGAACAGATGACACTATGTGAAAGGAAATACACTTATTCCCAGATGTATATAAAAGTAACCCTGCTGTATATCACCTCTAAAACAGCAATAAAGTAAAATGAAAAATAATTAAATAAAAAAGAGAATATGTGCGTACCTAAGCCTATACATCTGTTCACACCAAAAAAGAAACTATAAATACTAGTTTATAGTATTTGAAGTTAGAAAAAGAATGGTTATCAGCAGGATGCCAGTGGCTCTTGCCTGTAATCCTAGCTATTCAACAGGCTGAGATCTGAGGATCCCGGTTCAAAGCCAGTCTCAGCAGGAAAGTCCATGAGACTGTTATCTCCAATTAACTGCCAGAAAACAGGGAG